GGCCGTGCGGGGGGCTGCCCGCCGTAGGGCGTCTGCCGCTCACCGCTGCCCCATAGCGCGTGGGCCGCGGCGGAGAAGCCGGGGGTGTGGGCCGCGGGGCCAGTGCACGTTTCCGGACGGCCGAGGGACCTGAGAGCAGGACGTGACCTCGGTGTGAGGTCACGGGCGATGTCGAGGCGGGAAGGGAGCAAATGGGAAGCTGTGACTTGGCGCGGCTCTGTCCAGGGTCCGGCCGGGGGAGGGTGGTCAGGCGCTGGGCAGAGCCGGGCTGACAAGGGGCCTTCGGTTTGGGATGCAGGGCGCCTCGAAGAGGATGCTCACGGAGGAGGCGAGGCGGGGGCAGTGCAGCTGGCACCGGGGTTTCGCTCACACGCTGCCCACCGGTTTCGCTGGCCCTGGCTCCGTTTCGGACGGACTAGATGTGGGGACGCGGAGGTGTTCGGGGTCCCCAGCACGCCCACTGATTACTCCTCATTTTCGTAACAGACTTACATGCTTGTCACTGCCCACGGGCTGCAGATGGGAGAACAGCCCCCAGCCACAGTGACCAGCTCGCCTCTCCGTGGTGAGCTGTGCTGGACCCGTCCCCCGGAACCTGGGGTCGCGGGCCGTCCCCATGGCCCCTCCTCCTGGCCACGCACACCAGGTCTCAGCTCGCGGCCGTGCCGGCTCGTGCTATTTATATGTGGACACAGGCTGTGCAGAAGCATGGACGCCCTGCTGTCTGGGCGGTGGCCATAAACACGGGGTACCTTGCCAGCTGCCCGGCCCCCTTAGGTAGGCGGTTCTTGCTAAAAAAACCGCAGGACGGATCCAAGCCAAAGCTGGACTCGTTTTTGAAATCGGTACCGGAGAGACACGATCAGAGCCCCAGGCCCAGGGCGGCCTCGCCTTTCCGTGGGCCGGTGGCTCTCGGAGTCCGAGTCTCGGCTGACCCAGGTAACGCTGCCCGAAGTTCAAGGGCTTCTCGCAGGCTCCCCTGGAAGGTCCACGTCTGCCCCAGGGGACCTGTAGCTCACAGGGATCGGAAACGGGCCTGAGGCTTCATGTTAAGGTTGGAGGAGGCTGAGGTGCCGGAGCCCCGCCCGCCTCTGGGCCAGCAGCTGGCTCGCCGGTGCCCGGGCGAGAAACGCTCTGTGACTCAGGACGGCCGCTTCTCACGCCCGCATTCTTCCGCCGGCCCGGATCCGCCCCTCTTGAGATCGGGCTGGTGATTTACGAGGCGGTGTCGGTTTGGGCCGGTGGCCCGTGGGTCTATATATAGTGCCTCCTCGGCCGTGAGTCGGGGAGCTGGACAGGCTTGAGGAGGGGACTCAGCTGTGCTGTCCGGCCGGAGCCTGGAGCGGGTCAGCTGGGCCGGTGCCACTTGTCCTGCGGGCCGTCGTCCCTTCTCTGGGGTAGGCTCCCTTTCTTCCTCCCCTTTGCGATCAGGCTTAGGGGCAGGGGGCAGCGGCTGTGCGGGCCCGGCTGCCCTGGGGTGTCCTGGGCGTGCCCGTTTCGGGGAGAAGACGTAGCCCTCAGCTCCGCTCTTCACGGGGAAAAGCGGACGCCGAGATCTGTGGTCTGCGATCCTGGGCGTGCCCTCATTTCTCGGAGTCCTGGCTTCGCTGTGGTGGCCCCCCACGCCCCTCCAGGGCGTCTCCCTGTCACCCGACGTCTGCAGTGCTCCCCCAGGTCCCAAGTCAGTCGATTGACATCTGCAGTTTCTGAGTCTCAGGACAAAGGGACCTGCGGGCAGAGTGCAGACTCGTAAAGGGATCTAGGTGCACTCAGCACAGACCCCTCATGTGTCTGCGTGTCGGGGACGGGAAGGAGGACAGCACAGCTGGCCCGCGCCTCCCTCAGAGGGACGGTCACCACGGTGCTTCCTGTCCCGTGCTCTGGTGTGTGATGGCCCCGCAGACTCCAGCTTCTGTCCCCGTCCACATTCCGGGAACGCCGCTGCCAGACAGGCAGTGGGGTGGGAGCCCGCACGGCCGGGGCGGGGTGGCGGGGGGGGAGGTGCCCCCCGGGCTGCGGTCCCAGAGTCACCGTCCTTTCCTGCTGTGGAGAAGTCAGACAGGCATCAAGGGGCCGCTGGAACCCGGGTGACTTAAAAGGTTATTTAGCAAACGGAGCCTGGGTTACATCTGCCGCTGATCTGCACAGAGCTGTCATTGAATCGAGGACTGTCACCTACCTGTCTGTTCTTTACAAAACTAAGGAGAACCCATGGGGAAAATTTTATGGAATGACATATTTTAAACATTTTTATTGAGGTGACATTGGTTGATACAATTATATAGGTTTCAAGGGCACGATTCAATAACATGTCACCTGCATATTGCGTGCTCACCGCCCGAAGTCATAACCGCTTCTGTCGCCATGTATTTGACCCTGTTGCCCTTGGTCAGCTCCCCCTCCCGCTCCCCCGGTCACCACTAGACTGTCGTCTGTGTCCACGAGGTCTTGCGTGAGTCTTCGCTTGCTGCTTTCGGCGTCTCGCCCCGCGGGTGAGCGAGCGTGTGGGTCACAACATTTTCCGCCGACTGTTCGCTCGGCCCGGGCTCCCTAGATCCGCCCACGTCGTCACGACGGCAGCGTCTCCTCCGTGGCCGACGGTCCATGGCAGGCGCGCACCGCACCTTCCTTGTGCTTTCGAGGCCGCCGATGTGTTTTCGGCCGATGTCGGTGGCCCTGGGCACACTCGCTGCTTCCCGAAGTGGGCAGGAGCGGTGCCCGGTGCACAGAGTGCGCAGGGGACGTGTGTCCCTCGGGAGACCACTCCAGGTGGCCTGCGAGTCAGAGCGAGGGACACAGAGCTGCGTCCCCGCGTCCCCGCTGGGTCCAACCATGGGATACGGAGCTGCGTCCCGCGTCCCTGCGGAGCGCCCGCTCCCCGTGCTGGCCTGAGGAGGGTGTCACGTCCGGTCACTGCCCGGAGCCTAGGCGGCCGGCCGCAGGCTGGCTCCAGGATGGCTGCTCACTGTCTGCAGGCACGGCCGACCTCGACTGGCCAGACAGGAGCGTGGGGCCCAGCGTGTGAGCACGGCCGTCTTCAGGGTGTGGCGGCCGCGGTCAGACCGGTCAGCACGGCGTGTCCTCTCCCGCCACCGAGGCCCCTTTTGGACCCTGTCCTCTGCCAAGAAGCACGAGCGGCTTGGAGGCCATCTCGGCGCAGGCCCGAGTGAACACCGCCGTGGGACGTCTCCGCCCCCGGGGGCTGTCCTGGGCTTGCCGTGGGCCGGGGAACGAGTCTCGGCGTGCGCAGTGGCTCAGAGCAGTGACGCTGGCCCCCAGCGCGGTGTGACTTCCGTTCCGAGCCTGCCAGCACCGCACGGCGGGCTGTGTGTGGTCACGGGGCGGCTGCTCTGAAGTCGCACCTTGGCGGGGGGTCGGAAGTCCCGCTGAGCGGCCGCTGGGGCACTTCAGACTCCGAAGCGACAGACCACAGCAGAACTGACGGTGTCGGGGCGGCCGCTGAGGTTGGTTTCCGCGTGCCGAGCACAGCACCGCCATCACTCAGGTCACTGTGGACGTCAGACTTAGCGGGACGAGCGCTCAGCGGGGCCACGCAGCGCGCCGGAGCCAGGGCTGGGGGCTGGGCCCATCAGACGGCGACACCTGTGCGCTTGGCCTTGACGGTGACGCCGCGTTCGGAACCGCGGCTGGCTGCAGGTTCCATCACGTGCACCGTTGTGTCCTTATTTATAGTCACACTTGTGCTGGAGAGTGGGGGTGACCTGGCATCTGTCCCCACCCCTGGGCTCCGTCCCTGTTGTCCCCTGGGCGGGTGGCGTCCCCTGTGGCTGGGCCGTGGGGTCTTGCTCAAGAGCTCCTTCCTTAAGTCAAGGCGAATTGCTTTAATTTAGACGCAAATGACAAAAAATGGAGCTCAGATTTGGAGAAGTTCTTTTGCCTCTTTACTTGAGAAATAACCACAGAGATTTGGGAATACATTATTTTTAGAGAGAGCCAGAGAACCCAGGAAGTTGATATTTTACTTATTTTTGGGTGAACTTAGGTAGCAAGAGGCCAGTGGTATAAACACTGGCGCTAATTCACGTTCCCAGGTCCCATCCCAGATGGAGCTCAGCTCTTTCCTGTTTTGGGAGCATTTGACCAAAACGCGCTGACTCCCCCGCCCCGGGCTCCCACGCTGGGCTCGGTCCCCATCCCCCTCGTTCCACCGAGGCAGGTCTGCAGTCTGAGCGTGGTTTAGGAAGGGATCTGGAAGGTTCCGTGCTCACCGGCTCCATTTCTCAAGCCCCCTTTCAAGCCGCGCGGGCCCCTCGCTCCCGAGGCGGACACGGAGAGCCCCGTGTGTGCTCACAGCCTTCCGGGCGTGTCCCCCTCGCGCCCCTGTCACCTCCCGGGTCCTGCCTCCTCCCACCCCGTCACCGCCTGTCAGCCCGCCGTCCAGCGGCGCTCGTCTCGGATGCCGCCGGCCGCGGGGCACCTGCCCGCCGCTGGGTCCTGCTCTCGCGTTCCGTGTGCTCGCTCGGTCTCTAATCTGTGTTTTCATGACTTTACCCTTATCGCTCATGTTGCCTCGAACTCACTAAACATTCTATAAACATCGATTGAGTTTATAATTAAAGGAGACGCGTGGCCCGAGCTTCTAACTTACGGAGGCAAATGAGAAACGAAACCGGGTCGCGAGGAGCTTCATCGGTGCCGGGGCCCCCAGGCCAGCGATATTTACGCTTGTGCAGCTCCCTCCCGCTCACCACCCACAGCGGGTTCCCTTTGGGGCGACGCACAGAGTTCGCGCAGCCGCGGCAGGAAGCCGCCTGCGTTGGACACGGACCTCAGTGCTGGTGGTCACTCTTCATTCGTAGGTGTGAACCAAGATGTCGCTTGTCGCTCTGCCCTTCTACCAGAAGAGACACAGACACTTCGACCAGTCGTACCGGAACATTCAGACGCGGTACCTTCTGGATGAGTACGCGGCAAAGAAGTAAGTTTAAACACACGGGTGGGACTCGCGCTTCGGTCACGGGCGTCTGGCGTTTGAAGGCAGGGAGCTCCGTCCACTGCTGAGACCTGAGGGGACCTGGTTTGGGGGGTGGTCAGGGATGGCGCTGCTCCCTGATGCCTGTCTTCAGCGCCATAGGGGAACACGGCTGACCGGCTGGGCAGTGGCCTGCATGCCGAGTGCTGCATGGCATCGCGGCACCCTGCAGACCCCGGCAGAGTCTGGCAGACCCTGGCAGACTGGCTCTGAGCCTTAGCTTAGGGCAGGATGGCAGAGACTTTCGTACGTGCCCGTGGCTTCGCTCCTCCCCACGCATCTGCTATGACTAAACAGTCCCCCGAAGGCGGGGCCGGGGGACAGGGAAGCTGTGGCCAAGCAGAGGGGGGCGGACGCCGGAGTCAGTAACGACCTTGCCACGTTGATAATAAAAGCAGCAGGAAACACCTCATTCTCCGCGTGAGGGCCTGGGGCGCAGCCACAGCTCCGCGAGTCCTCACGCCCCAGCCGCCGGCGGCTCCGCGGTTTCCATGGCCGATGAGAAGGTCGAGCTGCAGCGTGGAAGGCACAGCGGGCGTGGCGTGCCCCCTCCCGCCTGTGCGCATGTCACCAGCACCTATATTTAGCAGGGCCTGTGTTCCTTGTGCTCAGCTGCCACCCACCTAATAAACGAGGCCAAGTATTTGCAGCCCCTCCCAACAGCCTCGGGGGCTGCGGGTCCCGTAAGACATGTGAACCCGGGGTGCTGGGCCAGGGCTGTGGCACGCGTAGGCCCCGGGGGACATTGCCGGGGCGGTGGGCGAGCTGTCCATGACGATGACCCTCTGCGGACGGGCAGTGCCGACGGGGCTGGTGGGACGCAGAGAGGGGGACGTAGGTTTGAGTGTGTACATATGTGTGTGCACACACGTCTGCATGCCGCACACATGCTCATAACACACGTGGACATGTGTGCAGGAGTGCATGCCAATGCGTGCGTGCGCTGTGCATGTACACATGTGAGCGTGCACGTGCGTGCATCGTGCCTGTTTTCATGCACAAAGCCAATGCGCGGGCAAGCGTGTAGTGCATGCACGCCTGCGCACGTGCGTGCATGCGTGTTCCTGCATGTGCGCGTGTGCGTGCTCCAGGGAAGGGTTTGGTGTGCGCACAGAGCGTAACGTTGTCCGTTGTCACCACTTCCGCGCTGTCCTACGCCTGACGTTTCCGGCGCCCGCCAAGGCGCGCCTCGTCCCTGTCGTCTGCCCAGACGTCGTCTTCCCAGAGGGCTCCCAGCCTGCCATCGCCCGGAGGGTCGACCTGCAGGCTCTGTGCGAGGAGGCTGAGCCCCGCGCCGGAGCAGGAGCAGCATGAATCCGAGAGAAGGTGACGCTCGCAGCCCCTCAGCCGCTGCAGCCGGGCGGAGCCAGGCGTCGCCGGGGGTCGCAGGACCCGGCCCGTCCTGCCGGGGACCGGGCGGGTGCCGAGGTCAGGGCGGCGCAGGGGCCTGGCTGGCGGGAGCCTGAGGGGACAGGGAAGGCGGCCTTTGCTTGAACGCGAAGCCCCAAGCGCGTTTGTCCGTCGCTGGCTTGTCCCTCGCGGCCGGTGCCTCAGCAGATCCTGACAGGGACGCTGCTTGGCGCCATCTTGCAGAAGAGAGCCGTGCGGTGCAGAGAATGCCCACCCGTGCCCGGGGCCCACGCCTCCCACGCGCCGCCCCTGGCCTTCGGCCTGTCACCGCGTCACACAGCACTCAGCCTGTCCACACGGGGCGGCAGCAAAGCGTGAGGACCTAACGGTTCACAGCTAATTTTGAATCTCACCAGCGGCCTCTGGAGCTGGCAAGGAGCAGCGGGCAGGGGCGCGGGGTCAAACGCGCATTTCCGCAGCGGGGCGGCGTCCCTGCCAGCTGTCCCTGTGGGAACCGCGTGTGACGGGCTCTGTAAACGGGCACATGCCCGGCTCGCTGGACTCGCGCGTGAGAAGGTGGCACAGGACGGTGACGGGTTGATGGCCGTGTCAGCCCTCGGCCGTTCCGGAGAAACAGGCGGCGACCTCCCGCGGTGTCAGGGACAAAAGAGGCCAGCGCCCCACGCCGGCCGTCACGCGACGCCTGCTCCGTTTCTCCCCTCCCTGGCGCTTTGCTTCTAGGGGGGTGTTGCTGTCTCTCTGAACCACTGAGAACCTGAAGGAAAAGTGAGGTGTGGGTTAGCAGGCTCCATCGCGCAGGTCGCCCTGTGACCAAGGAATCCGTTTAATAAAAACAAGGCGTAGCTGAGCAGATACTTACATTTTAAAATTCAAATTGTCTTCCAAATGCCTAGGGGAATTTGCCACATAAGTTTATTTTCTCATGAAGTGAATACTTTTTTTTTGCAAAAGGGTCACTTCGAAGTGTGTACGTTTAAAATCTGGGCTTGCCGGTATCGGCTTATTTGGGAAAGCGCCCACCTGTCCGTTGCGGCCCGGGGGTCAGAGTGCTGAGCATTATCGTACCAGTTCTGCCTGCTGCAGCTGGGAACAGATCGCATAGACGTCCTGTGCCTCGGTTTCCCCAGGGGCGGGATGTGGAAAGGATGCATCCATTGCTTTGCACAGTCGGGGAGCGGGTCACCGTAATTCACGTGGCTTCAGCAAACGGCCTCTGTGACACCCCTGGCTGCTGGAGAGCTTCCTGCGGCAGGGCTGGCCGCAGCGGCAGACCCGCCCCGGGCCAGGACGGCTGCGGCCTCCAGGTCCCTGTCCTGCCCGGCGGGTGCAGCCCACGCCGGTGGCACCTCACCCGCTGCGGCTGAGCCGTCTGCTCCGGAGCTGTGCGTTCCCTGTACTGCCCAGTGGGTGCGGCCCACGCCGGCGGCACCTCACCCGCTGCGGCCGAGCCGTCTGCTCCGGAGCTGTGCGCTCTGTGACCTCACCGTGCTTCATCCTCGACCCGCGTGCGTGCCTCCCACGCCAAGGACCCCTTTGGATTTAGTTCTTTCCTCCTTTACAAGGACGTCCACGCGAGGGCGGGGCTTGGTGAGCGGGGCCACGGCCCCTCGAGGTGCGGCTCAGTCCCTGCCCAGTCCCTGCCCGGGCAGCCTGCTTGGAGTTAAAGGAATTCGTCCGTTTCAACCTCTGTTGCTCTCGCTGGCCTCAGGGGTACGAGAAGCACTTACTGATCCCCCAACCCCAGAGGCAGACGTCAGTCTTGGGAAAGACGAAGCTGTGGGTTTGTCAGCTGCGTTACCAGCTCGTCTTGACGTAGACACACCGGCGAGTATGCACGTCCCTCCACGGGGCGCAGCAGGGTGGGAAGGCCCCTTTGACACCCATACTTCTGTCTGGGAGAGAAATGGGGCTCCCCGTCACGCGGGCCGCCCCGGGCTTGTCCTGGGTGTGCATGCGTGTCGGATGACGTGACTCGGCCCAGGAGGCCCGCAGTCCTGCTGCGCCCCACAGACCAGCCGACGTGTTTTCTCTAAGAACCGAGCCCAGGACCGGATGAGGGGAGGCTTTTCCCCGAGACGGACGGTCACAGGGCAGCAGGCCAGGGAGCGGGCGTCCTGGCTTGGTTGGGACCTGAGGATGTGGCGGGCAGCGGACAGAGGAAGCTCGGGATCAATGATGCCGGCTCCTGGGTGGACGGTGCCGGGGCTGGCGGGGGTCACCCCCGGGCTGGGCGCTGTTGGGGGCCCACAGAGACGGGCTTGGCCGGAAGGCGCGTGCGCCCCCCCGCTTTGCCCCACAGACTGGAGAGGCGGACTCATCCACTTCACTCTTCTGATTTTTCTAGAATACAGGCTTCGTCTGTCTGTATCTGTTGATTCTGTTGGAAGGCTTTAGCTCAGCCCTAAGTTCTCTCAGTGATGGCGCCTTCTCGGGAAATCTGGTGGCTTCCGTGTGGCACCAAGCAGGAGGAAGCTGCTAGCAGGCTCAGACCATCCCAGACTGCCGCCCGGGGTGCTGACCGTAAGGGAGGCCTGACCCAGATCCCAGCCCAGCCCTGGCCGCCTGCCGCAGGGGCCTTGGTGACCATGTCCTGCCGAGTCGCGGTGCTCTGCCCCGCCCCCGTGCAGCCCCGGAGATGGGGTCCAACAGGTCCCTCGCTTAAGGGGTTTGACGCTTAAGGGGTTTCAGGCTCATCTTCCGCTCTCTCCGGGCCGGCTGCTGTCCCCAGACCCTGCACAGGTGGGACATGCCCGGTGCCGGGAAAGGAACAGCGGTCCCAGGGGCCGCTCACAGCCATCGCCCAGAGCAGCCGGCCTTTGTGCACGGTCCCGGGTGAGGGGACCGCGGGGCGCGCCCCGCCGGGGCGAAAGGCTCCCGTGTCCTCTGTGCCCCGCGGGGAGTCCTGGGGGCAGCACGCCGGCCCCCACGGCAGCTACCCGCGCCCTTTTCCTGCACACCGAGCAAAGTCCCGTGTTCGCTCCCGCAGGTACCAGTCCCTGGTGGCTTCGTACGGAGAGGCCAGGCGGCAGCGCTTCCTCAGGGAGCTGGCCGAGATGGAGGGGAACGTGCACGAGGCCCGTTTGCAGGCTCGGGAGAAGCTGGACAGACACGCCGTGGAGCAGGTGGTGGGTGGCGCGGTGGCTCCTGCGGGGCGGGTCACGGCGGGTCCTCGGGGTGAGTGGGGTGAGTGGGGTCCTCGGGGT